CTTTAGAGATAGATCTTTCAACAACATCTCTAGAACTTAGTCTTTTTAAGTTGTCTTGTAATTGGAGAATCTCATTTTGATATTTACTAATAGTCTGTTGAGATGAAGATATTTCGTCTTCAATGATTTGTAATATTTCTTCTAATGACTGGTTTCTAAGATTTAAATTTCTAACAACCTTAGTTATAGTTTCACAACTATCACTAGGTTGTATTGACGAGGATGAAGATGATGTTTGAGAAGTAGATGGTTGCATAGTCACAGTCTGTCTAACCCTTTTAGATATATTAAAGTTAAATCCTATCATTTCTCAATTCAAAACTTCTTCTAATGCGTAAAATTTCTACCTTTAATTACTGCGAAGGAACTAAAATTTCTGCTTTCTACTTGATTATGAATCTGTCTAAAATGGTTAGCTAAAACATTAATGTTATCTAATTTTTGTTTAGAGTTACGTGCTATCCAGAGATTATCTAGTAGACAATGCCCCATTTCTGCTAGCCTCTCTAAATTATTTCATCTGAATCGGAGATTAGATCCTTGTGGAGCCACTCTTAGAGTGTCATTTCCAAAGTTCATCATCGTTTGATCTATTCGAACCATGAAAATAATAGGTTCAAAAATTAATAACCTGACTATTTAAATTATCGGCCAAAATATTATTCTTTCCATCTATGTGTAGGGTGGGCATGGGTTGAGTTCAGTCGATTTTTGCCTCAACCCAAACCCAACATGATCGGTTTGATCAAAATTTAACGAAACTCAACCCGTGTAAAGGTTGAAACCCAACCCAATCAAGTATCGGTCGGGTTGGGTTGTGTTGGTCGGTTTGGGACGACTTGTCAACAAAAATTAAAGTCATTCAATTTTCTATTATACTAAATTCGAATAGACAAGATTAAATAGTAATTAAATAAATAAATAAATAAAATTATCTATTATCTTATTCAATCCTCATTAGCCGGGCCTACAAATAACAAAGTACATTTAATATAACATGAAAAATTTATAATAAATTTATTATGGGAAAAATAGTAAGCTCATTCTCTAAAATATACCAATGTAATTACAGTTACACTATCTACTCATACTTTTTATGTTTCTTTTATTTTTCTAGGCATTTTTTTTAAAGTGGCGGGTTGGGTTGAGTTGGGCATGTTTATTCGATTTTTATGAGTTAACTCATAACTCGACCCAACCCAACCCAACCCAACCCGGTCGGGTTGGTTCAGTTTGGGCCGGTTCGGTCGGGTATTGCCCACCCCTATTTATGTGTTCTATATTAATTTTATAACTATTTAATATCTCATATAATTT